TTTTCCTTGATTTTCTGGGAATTTCCCTCAATTTTGTGATGTTTCCTTTTGAATTTTGGGCAGTTTCCCCTCAGTTTGGGGAGGCTTTTCCCTCAGTTTTGTGGGAATTTCCCTCAACTCCCCAAAAGGGAGTTTCCTTTTGGATTTTAGGCAGTTTCCCTCAGGTTCGGGAGGTTTTTCATTGATTTTGTGGGAATTTCCCTCAATTCTGAGGGAATTTCCTTGGATTTTGGAGGGGTTTCTGCAATTTGGGAGAGGTTTTCCCTCAGTTTTGGGGGGATTTCTCTCAGTTTGAGAGGTTTTCCCTCAGTTTTGGGAGTTTCCTTGGATTTGGGGGTGTCTCCCTCCATTTCTGGGGAAACTTCCTTCAATTTTGGGGTTTTCCCCTCAATTTTGGGGAGGTTTCTTTAGATTTGGAAGCATTTCTCTGGGTTTTTTAGAGATTTCCCTCGATTTACCATGGATTTTTCTCAATTTTGGGGGGATTTCCTCCAATTTTTGGAAGGTTTCCCCTTGATTTTAGGGCGTTCCCTCAATTCTGGGGCCTTCACATCGATTTCGAGGGCAATTCCCTCAATTTTGGGGGAGTTTTACCTCCACATTTTTCAGTTTTAGGGCGAAATCCACGTCCCCGGTCGTGAGTTTCCGTCTCTTCCCCATGTGCATGAACTTGAGAGCGTCCTGTGGGGAAAAAAAGCAATTTTAGAGACAAATTAGGGGGAAAAAGGGGGGTTCAGGAGGGGTTGGGATGAAAAAAGGGGATTTTGGGGAAAAAAGGGGATTCAAGAGGAATTGGGGTGGATTTGAGGGAAGAAGGAGGAAAAAAAGAGGAAAAAAGAAGGGGAAAAGCGCTCTAAATTAGGAAAGTGGTGGAGGGAAGAAATGAAAAAGGGGTTTAGGATGGAAAAATGGGGGGAAAGGGATTTGGGGAGCAATTTGGAGAGGAAAGGGCATTTAGGATGGAAAAAAAAGGGGGAAAGGGAGATTTTTGGAGGAATTAAGGGGTAAAAAGGAGGTTTGGGGATGGTTTTGAGGAAAAAAAGAGGCTCCAGAATGGGAAACTGGGGGGGAAAAGGGGATTTGGAGGGGAATGATGGAGCTCAGGGGATTTTTGGGGGGAAAGTTTGAGCTTTAAGGCGGTCCCAGCCCCTCAATTTTGGGGTCTCCCCCTGCCCATTCCCACCTCCTGCACCCCCCAAATCTGGGGGTCTCCCCCTCACCTGCGCCACCTCCTTGAGGCGGTAGCTCGCCTCCTCCGCCAGCAGCTGGCACGTCTCCTCAGGGACCCCCGCCACCCCCATGGCCTCCGCCATCACCTTCATGGACTCGGCGGGCAGCAGCGTGTGGCTCAGCTTCAGTTTCTTCTCCTCCGCCATCTCCGCGCTCTCCCCGAGCCCCCCGAAGCCGGGGGGACCCCCCAAAAGGGGCGGCGGGGCCGCAGGGGGAGCGCGGGGAGCGCCGGCTGCTCCTCAGACCGCTCCGGCCGCCGCCATCTTGGCGCGGCCCCTCAGCCCCGCCGCCATCTTAGCGCCCCGCCTCCCGCCGCCGCGGGTCCTGGACGGCGGCGGTTTTGCATAAAAAACCGGGGGTGAATCGCCATCACATTGCCTGGAGACACCCGTGACAATGATTATTGCGACATGCCAGCGCGGTACAAGGGTAAATCTGGGTTTGTCGAACGTGCTGGAGGTGGCGGCAAATGCGGGTCACTACCGCCCTGCCAGGACCTGCAAAGAGGCGGGAAAGGGAGGCGGGGCTCGGTGCGTACGGCGCATGCGCGGGCTGGAGGCGCGCGGGGTAACGGAGTTGGGGGAGACCAATTGAGGGAGGATGGGGGGGAGCGGGGGGAACCATGAGGGAGAACGGGGGGTGATTGGGGGGACACTGAGGGGACACTGAGGGGACATTGCGGGGGGACAGCTGGGGACAGTGGAGGCATTGTTGGTGAAACGGGGGAGGCTATTGGAGAGAGAATGGGGGAGTCCACTGAGGGGAAAACGGGGGGGATCCTTGCGGGGAATGGGGGAAACCATTGAGGAGAATGGGGGGGGAAGGGGGGGGGGCC